ATTGCATCCTCCCCGAGAGGAGTACATTGTACCGTCGGCGTCCCGATAACCCAACATTGATTGCTCGGGACCCGAGCAGTTAAGAAGAGAAGACATTCCTCATCAGAATCAGTGCGCACACTGCCTGTACCTAATGATCACCTACTGACTACACTGACAGCAATCATGAGCTTTTGAGTTATAAATACTCCTTGCAAAAGGCAAGACAGGTATGCAACAAAAAACCCTTTACTACAATACACACTCAGTGTTTTCTCCTTCCTCTCTCTTTCTCAAAGACTGACTAGATCGTCGGAGGGGATACACCGGAAAACACTTCGGCGCCCTTCTAACTTGTTCTTCTTTGTTCCAGGGACCTCTTTCAGCCTTACTGGATCGTTCTTCCGCTCCCCCAGGGTCTCCCTTTGCCGTTCCAGGTTACCACCGGACCTCGCAGGCTGTTCCAAGCAGCGTGGTTGGTCACTCAACTGGCTCACTCGAGTTCACTAAGGGAGAGATCTGTTCTCGTTTTTTATATTGTGCAGGATCTTGCATGCACAGAATTCCAACCGTCAAAAAGCAAGACACCTCAGAACTTGTAAAATCCGTGAAGAACCACAGATCAGAGATTACGAAACTCCAACCCCCAGAGAATGCTTGGACACAATGAGACCAAAGAGGCACCACCAAATCTGTAAAGATGCTTCACCAAATCTGTGGTTTTGTTTTGAACTCCTTTGCATGCGATTAAGACTGTTATATGTTGACCTTGTTCCTGCATATTCTTCTTTATTTGAGTCGTTATGTCACTCCACCTGCAAGCTCTGAAATATGATCTTTCTTTATGAGTCTTAGCCTTAAATTTTTAATTTGCCTTCTATCCTGCAACATCAGAAATCTAGTAGTAGGAAGAGTATCTGGAGACGAATAAGTTGAAGAGACTCTAGTCAGAGCACCCTGATTAGCCAATGAGTCTGCCACCATGTTACCCTCACGATAAGAATGCTGAATTTGATAGTCCAAACCATAAAGAATAGAACGAATTTGGTGAAAGACATTCCAAAATTTCCTAGAAGTCTAACTGTTGTTCTTGACCATATCCACCAGTATTTTAGAATCAGATTCAATGAGGAATGAATAATCCAACAATCCAAAATCTCTTATCAATCGTAACCCATCCAATAAAGCCCTCAGTTCTGCCTCCATATTAGAACAATGACCATAAAAGTAAGACCCTGCCAGAACAAATTGCCCAGTAGAATTCCGTAGAATGGGCCCTCCTCTTGACATACCTGGATTCCCTTTTGAAGCTCCGTCTATATTCAATTTCATCATTCCCTCATGTGGGAACCTCCAAGCTATCCATTTAACTTGCTTTAAAATTGTATTAGACCTTCTCACATTAATGGCATCTAATAAAACCAAATCTTTCTCTGAATCCAACACCTTAGGATTGAGATTGTGTACCTGTAGTTTCCAGAAGTGTATAACGTACTTCAACAGAGAAGAAGAATGAGTATTTTGATTTTCAAAAAGCCTCCTACACCTTTCCCTCCATAGCTGCCAATAGACCAGTAGAGGTAAACCTCTCAACAAATAGTGAGCCATAAAAGATTTCTTGTAAATCCTAATCAACCTCATAAACCTTGTAAGGGGCCCTTCCTGAGAAATAAGCTGAATACCCAAAAGCTCAGATAACGTACCCCAAATCGAAGTTGCATATTGACAGTTAATGAAGATATGAGCTGCCGATTCACAATCCTTCAAGCAAAAAACACATTTACTAGCCAAAGCAACCCCCTTAGACTGAAATATAGAGTCCATAGGTAAAGCTTTCCTCAATATCTTCCAACCAATAAGTTGTGCACTAGGAGGTGCAGCCTATTTCCATATATTAGAAGCTTGAACATTTTGTTGACCTACACTTTGTATTAGGTTCCATGCTGATTTAATGGTGAAATTCCCCCTTGTAGTATGCTGCCAAATAAGCTGATCCCCCCTCTCTGACAATTCAATTTGCAAAGCAATCACATCCTGTATAAGCTGTTCATCCATATGTTGTCTCACTCTATTAAAATCCCATTTGCCTTGAACAAGCACCTGTGAAAGATAGGGAAAATTCAAAGGAGCAGAAGAGGCTCTATGAATTAGTGGCCCCAATTTTGACCAGTTTTCACACCAGAAATCTACTTCATCCCCTCTGCCGACCAACTTCAGCGAATTATTAACAACCTCCTCAAACCATGGATATAACATTCTATAAGCTTTAGAATAACTATGTCGTGGACTCCTCAACAAATGACCCTTATTACAAAACTTATCCACAAAGAAATTAGCCCACAGAGATCTCCCATTAAGCAAACCCCATACCTGCTTCATTCTAAATGCCTGCTGAACCTCTTCAAACTTACGAAGTCCCAAACCTCCTTCCTCCTTGGGCATGGTAATATTCTTCCATGATCACCAGTGTCTATTCCTGGTATTTCTAGACCATAGGAAAGAGGTCATGATTGAATTCATTCTTGAAATAATTCCCTTGTGCAGGTTTAACGAAGTTAACAAATGTATTGACATGGAATTTAAAACTGACTGTATCAAGACTATCCTCCCCATATTCGATAGGAGTTTCGTATACCAACCCTGTAGCCTAGCCTGAAACATCTAGAGTAAATCCTCAAAATAGATAAGTTTAACTCTTCCTTTAATAATTGGACATCCTAAATAGGACAGAGGACACTTTTTAAGATGAATGTTTGCCACCTGTGAGAGCATAGACTGCTGAACATGTGGAATCTTAGCTGAGCAATATAATGAACTCTTCACTTTATTCACCTTCTATCCAGAATCCTCTTCATACCTTGCAACAAACTTCAGCAAATTCATCATTGACTACTTATTCCCTTTTAGAAAGATAAGTGTATCATCTGCAAAAAGCAAGTGACTGAGAAATCTTGTCCCTCTTCCTATGTGAAAGTGTTTGATAAGACCTTTATGAAAGATCTCCGCCATACCCCTGCTTAGTACCTCCTATGCCAGAATAAACAAACTAGGAGATAACGGGTCTCCTTGTCTTCTGGAAAAAAACCATGCCTAACCCCATTGATAGTCAAAGAAACAAATTGATTATGAAGACAGTTACTGATGACATTCTGGAATGCGGCAGAGAAACCAAAACTATTCAAAGTTTTCAATAAAAAATCCAACTCTAACCTGTCAAATGCTTTCATCATATCCAATTTAACAATAATATTACCTGCCTCCACCTTCCTATCCAATTCATTCACCATAAATTGAGCCATGGCAATGCTGTCCCCAATATTCCTTCCTTTGAAAAATCCTTGTTGCTCTTCTGAAATAAGTTTAGGGAGAATTTTCCCAAGTCTAGTAGCTAGGATCTTAGTGAATATCTTATACAAAAAATTACATAAACTTATCGGTCGAAATTCATCAAAAGAAACAGGATTTTCCTTCTTTGGTATAAGGGATAACAATGTAGCATTCACTGATCTGGGAATAACTCCCCCTTGAATGAAAAAATTTGCAGCAGATAATAAATCCATCTTAATTACCTCCCATGCAGTCTTAAAAAATTGACCCGAAAAACCATATGGTCCCGGAGCGCTATGAATGGACATCGCAAAAATAGTCTCCTTAAGCTCCTCCAACGTAACATTTGACATTAAAGAAGCATTGTCTTCGTCAGTCACCATCCTGGGGATAACGTTAAACAACTCCTCCTCCATAACATGTGTTTCAGTAGAATATAGAGCTGAGTAGTAACTCACCGCACAGTCCGCAATTGCTTGATCATCCTCCAACCAAATATCATTTGAATCTTTAATTCTAGAAACTCTAATCCTCGTTGCTTTACCTTTAGCCATAGTATGATAGAATTTAGTATTCTGTTCTCCCTCCATCGTCCATTTCACATTAGCTCTCTGCTTCCAAAATATCTCCTCCATTCTCAAAGCTTGTTCCAGTTCTTTCCTCACTTCTAGCAAAGCCATATAATTTGCCTCTGTATCCGATCTTTCCACCTAAATTCACTGGACCAGACTCCTCTCCAACCGCTTTATATTCTCAAAAAAATTACCAAAAGTATCCTTAACTTAACTGAAACTTCAAAGTTCTAAGTTTCAAAAAGAGGTTCTCAATAGGGTTAGATGAATAATTTGCAGGCCAATAAAACTCTACTAACTTCATAAATCCAGGATGTTCAATCCACATGTTTTGAAATTTGAAATAAGAAATCCTTGCTTGAGAGTCTATCTCCTAAAATTTGGTAATTAAAGGGCAATGATCAGACTTCACTATGCCAGCATGTTCAACCACAATACTTACAAATCTACTCCTCCATTCCACACTCACCAAAGCCCTATCCAGTCTCTGCCACATTCGTGATCTACCTTGATGGTTATTGCACCATGTAAAAGTAGATCCTACATACCCACAATCTTGCAAACCCATAGAGCTTATAAAATCAGTAAACTCACTCATAATTGACAAACTTGGAACAACACCACCTTTCCTTTCTGTTGAAGAGATGATTGTATTGAAGTCACCAACCACCATCCATGGAGCATTAGAAACTGGTAGCCCAGACAAATGAGCCCAAAATTCTTTTCTTTGTACATGCTCACATTTAGCATAGACAAAGGAGAAAAGAAAAGGCATTGAACCCATGTATGATACCTCCACCGTTAAAACCTGTTCATGAGCATATTTTAATGAAACCTTCACTCTGTGATCCCAAATCACCCATATGTATTTTTCAGCTAATGGATTAGCTAAATATGATGAAAACCTCAGATTATTACATAAGCCATGCATTTTAGAAGGAAGTAACTTTGGCTCTAAAAAACAGACTAAAGAAATGTCATGCAGCTTCACTAACTTCTTGAGCCTCATCCTAGAAGCCTCTTGATTTGCCCCCCTCACATTCCATGTAATCGTATTAATCATTAAAAAGTTTTAGATTGGGAAATCTTGCTAGACCTTGATCTAGTAGCCATACCTACTCCCTAAAGCTCTTGCCTTTGCTCTGCATCTGATTCCAATTCTTGAGTATCACTAACCACTCCTTCATCACCCCTACTAGTAAGCTCATCTTCTGAATAAAATCCTCTATCTGGTGGCTCCATTGTACGATGCAGTCCACATTCATCATCCATAACAATCAATGTACCCTCTTGAAAGGCGTATTGGTGTTCCACCAAAAACGTAGAATCCAAAGAGGGATGCTGACAATTAGGCATCTCTTTCGAGGTGGGATGTTGCACAAATTTGCTTGAGAATGGTAAATCTATAATTAAAGAGGGAAGAGGATCCAGTTCTGCATACTTATTGACAAGCGATGGGTCATCTAAAATTATTGGTGCCCGAACATCACCATTCTGTTGGGCCTGATCATCTGTAGAGGCCTTGGGCAAATCACAGCCATTTTGCTCTGCATGTTCTTCAACCTCAACAACCAAGTTTGCATTTGGAACGAAGGATTCTCAAAATCTACAATTGGAACACTTTCTTTATAAGGATTTCCCTTTCCAATATCATTTGAATTCACTGTACCAGAATGCTCCCCATTTTCCAAGATCAAAATTGAATTTTCCTTTTCAATATTCCCTCTTTCTAAGGCTGGCTCTGCTTCTTTCCCGAATACAGCTACTGTTTCCTTACCTAGGTTATTATCCTTCTTTGGCTTCTACTGCTGCATCTAGACTCCATTTATTTGTTTATGGAAATTTACATGTCTTGACTGCAATTGTGCTTTCCCACTACCTTGTCTTTCCTTAAATCCGTTGCCCATAATAAGATTCTGCGTTCCCTCCAAATCTGCAATTAGGACATGCTTTCCTTTTTTCTTAGCCATAGTTTCCTTTTCGTCTCCTGCTAATTCTGGGAATGAATTCTTTCCGTCTGGGATCATCATCTTCTCCGCTGGCTTTTTCTTCCTGCATTCAAGTTCATCATGGCCTTACTTCCTGCAGCTTTTACAGAATTTCTTGTTTCTTTCATAAACTATCTACTGCCATCTTGCATCCTCAACCCCCATATCAATCCAGATTCTATTTGGATTATTTGCAAGAAGGTTTACCTCCACACATACCCTTGTTACCCCAGGCCTGGCTAAAGAGAGCGTCCCCTAATCATATGCCAAAACTTTGCCTATGGGTTTTACCAGCAATTCAAAAAATGGTTTCTTGAAGAAATTTAGAGGCAATCCTGGTAATGATATCCACATAGGCACGATGGATGGCTCAATCCCTGGTACAAACGCTGTAAACCATTTAAAAAATCTAAACAAGTAATCTTCAATCATAGTAGCATCTTTTAACCATGTCTTCACATAGTCTTCTTGCTTTTCAAAACGTATCAACACATGACTTGGGTCTATTGAACCTATCTCAAACTCACCTTTTAATCCCCATTTAGATCTTATTACTTCTCGGATCACGGCCAAACTAGGTCTGCCATAGGCACACTTGCCTATCAACGTATATTGAAGGGATAAACATGATTGTTTAATCTCTTCATTGGTGAAGTAAAAGGTCGGTTCCCCCTCATAAAAAATGATAGGCTTTTCAATCTTGGGTAAAGGATCTTCCACAAAGACAGGTTTGGATGATTGTTTGAAGAGAGAAGCATAGGTGGGCTGTGTTTGTGGTGGGTTAATAGGTTGTAAATCCGGTGATTTTGGTGGAATGTTAGAAGAACTTGGTACGTCACTCATGAATTTTGAAAATTCTAGAGAGAAGTCAGAGCTTCTCTCTCTAAACTCTCTTAAAAATAGTATACATAGTTGCTAATTTTTTAACTGACCCTCGACTTGGACCCTTAACCTAGGACCCTAGATCCATGACCCCAGACCTAGGTCCGAGATACGTACCTCAACCTGGACCCTATTGGAAATAATGGTTTTTAAATAAATAGTTTGAGCAACTTAAGACTTAAATTAAAGTGAGATTCATAATTCAAAATTAGTGGATCCAAGTATAAATGCGTTCTCATCCGCGAGGATATGAACGTGGTATTTTTATTTGTTTAAAACTATTAAGTATTTAATGGGAAATTGTTAAAATATTTTAAAAATAAAATCTTTTTGGGGTTTATATTGAAAAACTCTGTCACTTTTGAGAAAAATTGTAAAAGTATGAAGTAAAGATGACATGAAAGGCTACTATAGGGGTATCCATGGGCCGGACTTGGGTACTGTAGGCCCAAGCCTTTACCCAAGTGAGTTATCGGGCAAGCCAGGCCGGGCTTTGAGTAAGGATAGGCTACCCGCAGCCCAACCAGCGAGCCTATTGGGTAGGCTTGCTGGGCTGGCCTACTCGCGGGTTTTTTTATATACAATTTCATTAAAAAATAATGAATATTTTTGTAACTAATTATTTGTGTAAATTATATTTTAGAATAAAAAATAGAGTCAAAATAAATAAAAATAAAATAATGAATAATTTTATTTTTACTTAGGGGATGAACTACATTCAATAAAATGAATACATCCGAACTAGGTTGACACCTACTCACTTATCTATCATTTGCATTACTCTATCATTTAAAACTTGTATGCTTAATACATGAAAAATAAAATAATACATTATTTATAGTATCTAAATTTTTAAAACTTCAAATTATGACATTGGAAGACTTATTTCAAAGTTTCAAATTTAATGGTTTAAAAATATAACTTTTTTTCAAATGAAGGGTGGGCAGACTATGTGGGCGGGTTGGGCTTGGCAATGGGTTCTTGGGTCAGGTAATGAGTTTGGGGGGAAACCCATGCCATCTTTTTAAGGAAATTGGGCTCAAGCTCAGGCAAATCAACTATCGGTCTTATCGGGTTTCGGGCCTATTTTTTTCGAGCCAGGTAATGGGACTCGTGGATAACTTGGCCCATAGTCACCCCTAGGCTACTAGTTCGAAATTGGTTATTTTTTGTTAAAGACACCAATACAAATGGTTACATACTTTCACAAAACCATCATTAATACCTTTTGGTTAAAAGACACCATTATAAATAGTCACAACTTTTCATAAAAGTCACGTTTGATATCTTTTGGTTAAAAGATAGCATTTCAAATAGTTGTATCTTTTTATAAAGTCATTTTATACTGATACTCTTTGGACCAAAAGACAATATTACATATGGTTGTACCCTTTATGAAGATGCACTAGTGAGTCTATAAATAGGTGATGCCTTGTACTCTCAAATCATACCATTGAACAATTTTTACTTCTTACTAGAATTGCTCTTTCATTCTACTTCTCTCCATAATCCAAAGTGCTAAATTTTGTATTCAAACTTTCTTTCTTCTCTCTCCCTTTCTCTCTACATATTGTTGCATTGTCATTTCTTTTTCAGTTCAAGTATAAACATAGAATTGTGTTTGTTGGAATTCTAAAGATTGAAGTGATGCTTCTTTAGAAACGAAATACATTCTATCTTGGGAGACTGGTGCTTATCAACCTTAAGTACCGAGAGACAACAAATATGCTTTAAGGAAACTGTAATTACATGGGGCTCGAATTTTTATTATTGTAGTGACCCCAAGCCCCGTATCTTGGACTTGGATCTTTACTTAGGCTCCCTTACAATGTATTGAATGATGTCTTATAAACCCTAATGGACCTAGATGGTTGTGCATAGGTCTTGTGCGAAATAGTTACCAATTATAAATTAAATGACTTAATTCGAGACATGGTTCATACATATATGAAATCCAAAGACAATCGAGAATATGGGATAAAACTCAAATGCAGTTTATCAAAAGATGAGTAAGATTGATACAACAGTTTTAGACGTGAAAACAACCCCGACGAGGGTATAAAAACACGAGACTAAGTCTAACCCAAACCAATTTTGCTAACGAAATCAAAATATAAACTCAATACTTATAGTACCCACTAGATGTACTAAATATAAGATGTCCTTTTGTCTTGTTTTTTTTTTCCTAACAAACCTTTACGTATGTTTGGCTCCAGTCCAACACCAGTCCCTTTGAACTCAAGGCCATCCCAAGTTTTTGACTTTATGAAATTCTTTTCTCTAAAACTTTGAAGATGACTAGGTGTTCAAACGACTTTGGATCAACTAGTCAAAAATACAAAGGGTACTTGATTTGTAAAAACAAGATTGAAAAGGGTGCTCTCTCTCTCTCTCTCACCATAAATTTTTAGGTCTAGTATTGTAAGACCTCGTACCAAATTTAAATATCAATAATATTATATTTACAGTACTTCTAAAATAATTACAATGATTAAAGAAACTTTGAATCGTTGTTAAAAGAATTTTCATGAAGTTTGAGTTTCGTGTGTATTAACTTTTGAGTAAAATTTAATTTTGAAGGTATTTAAGCTTAATAAGGGTGGGATGGGTGAGATGATAATTTTGGTGTTTTAGCTACTTTATTCTTTAAGAGATAAAAAAATTATTATTAATTGAGATATTGAATAATTTAAGGTGAATGTAAAGTGTTCCAAGCTCACTTAATATAGTTTTAGAGGTTTTAAGTTGAAAAAAGAAGAAGTTTGAAAGTGTTCCAAGTTTAAACACATTTTAGAGAGAATTCAGATAGGAAGAAATTTGACAATACTTCGTTATTTTGACCATAAGTTTTTATCCCATTTTTTGATTGAGTTAATTATTATGGAATTGAAAATAAGACTTTTGGAAGCGCGTCGTTAACACTCCAAAAATTTAACCTTACTTCTTAACACAATAAAAGAAAAACAAACACAATAGCTAGATGAGCAAGTGTCGAACCCACAGAGAGTGTTCACAATTTCTTTTTTAATTTATTCTGACCAATTCTAAATTGAAATTCAATTAATAACAAAACAATAAAGGGGGGGGGGGGTTTGAAATTCTGATCAAACTAATTATGATTAAAAACTAAATTAATAACAGAAATCAATGAAGTAAAACTTTAGTTCTTCGGTTCAATCTTACCCTCACAGTTTATGGAACAATCAATTAGTTATAACATTATTCGACCCTTCAATGAATCTAATAATCCTAAGTAACGTCAATCTCTGCTACCCAAAATTCCCCTTAATTCCTCACTAATGAAACAAGCTCTTCATTAAATTCTAACCATTAGACAATTTAAAACAAGTTCTCTAAATTTAATATAATGGCAGCATTAATATCAAGGAAATTAGATTATTCTAAGCAACAATCACACAAGTTCAGACTGTTTAACTTAGTTCATGAAAATCATAGCAATAAACAAAAGCTTGTCCACAATCATCTATCACTATTTGCTACGACTCATTAGGAAAAATATCAATTACCTAATATACTTCCTGAATCTAGCAATTGGTAATAATCTAATCAATTTAATAGGCCTTGATTAAATCAATCAAACCAAATATCAATAAAACAATTAAAATAGATTATCATGAATAGATTTCATAAGAAAAGGGAGAAATAATGTTACTGATTTGATTCAACCATTAAACTGCAATGAAAGTTCGTAACCCCTTGAACTGAATTGAAAAATCTAGCCTGAAATACTTCAATAAGAAAAACCTAATAATTCCTTTCCGTCTCCTCCTCTCCCTTTTCTTCTGGCAACCTTAAATACCCCTTGAAAACATACGACACTTCCCTCCCCCCCCCCCAAAAAAAATGTGTACAACTCAAAGCCCTACATTATAGGTATTCCTTATCAAAACAAATTGACAGAAATCCTACTGGAAATTGTGAGCTGTTTTTCTATCAGATAACGATTGAATCTTTATTTGGCCTTTTGATGAAATTGTAGCCCTGGATGTGTAAATAAATTTAGGCTTTTGAATCACCTGATTTAGAATTCGAAAACTCGAGTTATGACCCACTGAAGTTTACTGGTCCAATCAGGATTTGGATCAGCTTTTCGAGCCTGACTTTGAAACAATGTTTGGAGGCCCAAACGAACTCGGATT